CTGTAGTCCGGGAAATACGGTAATTACATTTTTGCTTGATGCATAAATTTAAAAGATTAAAACTAATAAAACAAGTTTTAAAAAGAGACTTTTCCATCTGATTACATTTTGTATGATGGATTATGTAGAAAAAGTAGAATTGGGCTGAAAGATCTATCACTTTATCACCTGTTCAGGGTGTAAATCGTGTTTTTAAAAAGTAACTAAGTAATTAATTACTTTTGAAAATAAGTAATCAGTAAAGTAACAGGATCACTTTTTTGGGGAAGTAATCAGTAATTAGTTACTTTTTTCCAGTAACTTGACCAACACTGATGCTGGGTGATGAAGAGCACAGCAGTGATGCTGGAGCTGCTCGTGATGTCACACGTGTCGGTGTGACATCACGAGCAGCTCTGCTGTGGCCTGCAGCTCTCGTGATGACTCCACCCATTCACCTCTGTGTGTCGGCCCGTGTATGTGACACGTAACAAACAGGTCAGAGGCGGATCCACCTGTGCAGGTGAGTCCTGCACAGCTCAGTGTGAAGCAGCAGGATCCTCTGAGTCTGTGCTGCCTGTAAGCAGCTGTTTCTGCTGCCTCAGAGTGAACATCAACACTGAGCTGTGGTTTTATTCACCCTGTGCTGCTCTGCAGCTTAGAGTGTTTGAGCTGTGAGGCTCGAGGCACACACAGAACATCGACTCTGCTCACACAGCCTGTTAACCTGCCAAAGGTTTGAATGAGTTCACACTGTAAGTCTGTGAGTGGAGCTGCTGGACAGGAACACCATGACAACTCTTTATTGCTCCCACTATAACCACTGAAACCAGTCAAACAGCTGCAGCTGACAGCTTACTGTGTCCTGATAGGACAGCTGAACACGGGTAGGTGAGCTGTTACTCACACACTGATGGGTCAGGTGGTCATGTGACCAGGTTCTACCCAGGTACCTGCAGCCCCTCCCCCTCACCTTCCACCTCTCGGAGCACTTCTTGGAGAACTCGGCGAAGTTGACCGACTGCTCGGGGTTCTTCTTGCGGTGCTCCTCTCGACACGTCTGCACGAAGAAGGCGTACGCTGACGTCTTCCCCTTCGGCTTGTTGATGTCTTTACGCATCATCGTGGCGGCCTGAAGAACCACCACAGAAGAAGAAGAGTGAGGGAGACGGAGAGCCGAGGCAGTGCTGCAGACACCAGATATGCATTTATAGACTTGGTCCATAATGTAACAATAAAGGACTTTATATTTATTCACAATTC